ATAGATAGATAGATAGATAGATAGATAGATAGATAGATAGATAGATAGATGAGAGATAGACAGACAGACAGACAGATGGGATGGATGCATGGATGGATAGACAGACAGATACACAATCGATAAAATAGATAGATGACAGATAGATAGATAGCAATAGCATTTATATACCACTTTACAGTGCTTTACAGCCCTCTCTAAACAGTTTACAGTTTATATTGCCCTTAACAATTGGGGTCCTCATTTGACCCACTTCGGAAGGATGGAAGGCTGAGTCAACCTTGAGCCTCATGAGATTTGAACTGCCAAATTGCAGGCAGTTGGCAGTCGCAAGAAGTAGCCTGAAGTACTGCACTCTAACCACTGCGCCACCATGGCTCATAGATAGATAGTTAGATAGATAAATAATAAATAAAATGGTATCCTCCTATCCATTCCATCATTCTGTAGACTGCAGAACTTACCAATATACACAGGAGAATAGTTGGACTTGACATTTTCATCCAGATAGGTCACCCCAAGGGTGTAGAGTGGCGTTGCTCCAATCCCATGTAGAAACTGTCCGAGCATGAAGACAAACTGATAATTAGAGAGGGTGGAGACACTTTCTGAACACAACGCACTTTGATTGGAGGAGCACGTGCCAACCTCCTCCGAAAAAGGGACTTCGTATTGGCTGGTGGTGAAGTGAGGCAGGGCAAAAATGAGGGAGCCAATCCCCATGATCAAAACTCCCCAGCCCAGCCACCGTGGTTTATGCCCATTGCCCCCAAAGTAACTGACGAACGTCAAACACACGCAGGCTGCAATGTCGTAGGAGCTGGCAATCAACCCGCTTTGGTAGCTCTGGAGGTCGAAGCGCCGCTCGATCGACGTAATGACGGTGTTGACAAAGCCGTTGACGGTCATGCCTTGCAGGAAGGAAGCCACACACAGGAAGAAGAGGACGCCTTTGGGGGTGTTGAAAAACTGTAAACAACTTGGGGTGAAGCCGCCCCACCCGCACACCAGGACCTCCCGCTCGGTGGCGACGTATTTGATGCCGCCGCTGAACCCGTTTTCGTTGGGGGATGTCGCCTCACAGAGAGGCTTCATGCAGGAATCCGAAGGGCTGTTTGTGTTGGAGTAGAACGCCCCATTGCTCAAAGGAGTGGGGCAGGGTTCCTGAGGACTGGGGCTGTCAAAAGGAGGGCTGTTCTCCGAGGAATTGGATGCGTTGGAGAAAATAAGCTTGTGGGTACAGTGGTAGCCATTTTCCCCCACCATCTTGTGAGACATTTCCATCCAACGGGGCCAGTTGAGGTTCTCAGATGTCTGTCTGTCTGTCTGTCTGTCTGTCTCACTTGTCCTTCCTCAAGCGGGCTTGGATCCTTCTGGTGGTGGGCTGAAATCTTGGTCTTCAGAAGGAGGGATTTTGTAGGAAATAGATAAATTAATAGATGGGCCAAGGAGAGATCGTGGAACACTTCATTCTGGGGGGGAAAAAGGGACAGAAGAGAAATCAGCAGAATGTCCTAGAATATCAGTCCTCCCGTTCTTGTGGGACCATCACACAGAAGAGGGGATTGACGTATTTTCCAAAGCACCAGAGGGCAGGACAAGAAGTAACAAGTGGAAGCCAGTGATGGGATTTGAATTCCTTTACTACTGTTTCTGTGGACATGGCTTGGTAGGCGTGGCAGGGGAAGGATATTGCAAAATCCCCATTCCCTCCCCACTCCAGGGGAAGGATACTATAAAATCCCCATTCCCTTCCGATCAGCTTGGACTCGAGAGGCAGAGAATAGATGGGGTGGGGCCAGTCAGAGGTGGTATTTTCTGGTTCTCTGAACTACTCAAACTTTCTGCCTTCAGTTCTCCAGAACTGTTCAGAACCTGCTGAATGCCACCTCTGGTGGAAGCCTATCAGGGAGAGATGCAACTCAGAATTGAGGAGAAATTTCCTGACAGTGCGAACAACTGTCTCCTATACCTGCTCATTTTCAAGTTTAATCCTTAGTATATAACAATATAATTTCCTTATCAGTTTATCATCTGTTCCAGTTAATAGCTGGTCTAATTCTGTTAACTCTTTTTTAAAAAAAACCATACATATTAATATCTTTCTTAGAACAAGATTGTATCTGCATTTGTGACCACCACGTGATTTCTATCCCTTGACTGCGAAGTTCCTGTTTAGTTTTTAGTTCCCCTTTTATTTCCCCAATCATTAATTGTTCTCACTGTCAGGAAATTTCTCTTCAATTCTAGGTTGGATCTCTCTTTGATAAACTCCCACCTGTTACTTCTTCTCCTGCTCTCAGGTTTTATGATTTTATGATTTTATGATTTTATG